GTGTGAGTGTGTGAGCGTGTGTGAGAGTGTGTGTGAGTGTGAGTGTATGATTGTGTGTGTGAGTGAGAGTATGTGAGAGTGTGTGTGAGAGTGTGTGTGAGAGTGTGCGAGTGTATGCGAGTGTGTGCGTACATACATCCACATGCATGTTTGGGACCAACTTGCTTACCAACAGACCAAGAGAGTGACGACATGCTCATGACGTCCAACTTGACATTTTCAATCAAACAATGGCATATCCATAAAAGCGTTCAAATGTTTTACTTGTACAAATACTACAAAAGAATTTATGATCCATAATATGTGACACCACCACATAGGCACATCGCGACTCTAGTAAACATCTCCCCGAATATAATCTCCAACGACGAGCCCTGCATCATAATTGTTCATCTAGAGCTCATCATGGGCAGGACATGGTGGTTTATCACAGAAGCAGCACGATCTGGAACGACTTTATTATTTTGTGAAATGGTAAAACTGCAGTGCTCTTTTTCTCTCACGCCTCCCTTCACCAGCCAGATCCCAATTACCATGCCACCCAAGCATCTCACATCGCTTGCATGCATACCCCTTCCACTGTGTCGATATTCTAAATCATAGATCCCCTGCTTAACCACTTCTTAATACTTGCAGCAGTAGAGTGTTCACAACGGCCCATAAAAAGCCAACTCAGGCCACGCAGCACCTATTGCCGCAAAAGGCCAAATTGTCTGTCCCTTATAAAGAGAGCGACGATATATTCCCGTCAAATTCCGGTCAAAACCACTCCTCTAATTCAGGTGATTAAATCCCCTCAAGCATTTTTGTTAACTACTATCCTCCTCTAGTAAGAGAAAAACTTTTGCTTATCAGGACAACCAGCTATGGATGCTCACTTCCAACTACAGCCCACTACTCTAGACCAGTCCCCAAGTACATAGTCTGTAGGCTGAAAGTTAAGCTCCATTGAGAGACTAGTCTGTAGGCTGAAAGTTTAGCTCCACTGAGATACTGTAGGCTGAAAGCTTAGCTCCATGTAGGGAATGCAAAAAGAATGCATCAAGAGTCATCATGTACACTGATTGTCCAACTCATGGAGAGCCATGTGTAATCGTATTTTTCACATCTATGGAATGCAACTAAATCTTTCCATCTGTAATCATATCGATCGTTCAGACACGAAGTCTTTGTTGTAGTCATCCACCATTACCACCATCATGCTATGCTAAAAATATATACTGTGAGTGTTGTCTATACCGCCGTGGAGTGGGTTCCTCCGAACAAAAGCACTCGGTGACTCACCGTGGCCATAACACTAGTTAGTCAGTTCCATACCAACTACCACCTGTTTTTCCTTCTACACCTTCCTACATTCTTTCAACTCCTGTGCTCCTCGTCCTCGCATCAAGAGCATCATCGTCATCATCTTGATTACCGTCACCATTACTAATTGAATTGGACTCGAGCTTGAACAGATCACAACTTCACCACTCACCGCCAGCTTTCACGTTCATTCCACAGTTTAACTTTTCACCTCTATCTCCCGCTTACTCTCATCCCACATCCAGCATCCAAGCATTACAAATGTCGAGTTCAAAAGCGAAAACCCTGGGGCCAACCTTGAGAGCTTCTGGCCTCACATCTTCCCTGCTGATCCTACTCAAGCTCAAACCCCCACCCTCACCCTCACCCTCTCACCGTCACCCTCGCCATGTCCGTCACCCTCACCCTCGCCCTCGACTTCACCTCCATGCTACACTGTCACCCCCACCTTTGCTATGATGCTCAAACGCCGAGTGGCCGTTGGCGGACGTCTGGCCGGACGTCTGGCCTCTGCTTTGAGCTCGAAAAATGTTTCCCTTTGGCTTTCCGCTCACGACTTACTTCAAAACTAACCAGCTCACTGAAACTCCCCAATCAATTTTCACACGATCGTCACCATCACCGTCACCTTCGCCCTCACCCTCGCCCTCTCCCTCTCCCTCTCCCTCTCCCCCACCCTAGCGCTTTACTGTTGATCTCCCTCAGACTTGACATCACCCTCACCCTCGGCGTCACTCTCCTCCTCAGCAAATCTCTTGCGCTCACCCTGTGCCTCACCCTCGACCTCAGCTTTCACCCATACCCTCCATACCTCCAGAGCCTCACATGCTTGCTTGAAGGCTGTAACAGTTAATCTCCTAATTTGGGATATCACACGTTCACAACTCTCCAGCCTCCCTCTAAACCAGCTCTTGCACACTCTTTTCCCTCGCTCCAACTGCTCTCTCCTCAAATCCCACCTTGTGTAACCTTGTGGAACTGAACAGGTGTACACAGGAACAACTGACCTACCTCCCATGAAAAATGGGATTTGAACCCGCACCCAACAAGGTATGGGGATATTGTAAATCCGATAGAACCATCTTTTGACGACACCTGCAGATGAATTGACATTCCTCAGAGAAAGCACCATCTTGAAAAGAAGAAACATCTTGGGAGTGCACCTTCCGACGGACAGCACCATGCTGTCTGCAAATAACAAGCTAACTACACCGATGACCACTGGGATTTTGTCGGGAACTGGAGCCGAACTCGGATTCTCCACAAGCCTGCTGATAGCCAGCCACTTCATGTTTGACCAACATGATTGCATTGATTTCTTCCACCCACATGCAAGGCCATACTAGCCACTGCAAGCCATAGACCGGTTCGTCCAGGCCCTATTCCACGACAAGCAAGCTACGTTTGCAATCCCATCACCAGCTCACACTAATTGTCCAAGTCACTCAACTTCGTCTAAACCGAGCTGCCAAGAAGTTATCGTAGCACGACAATATCCTGCATGATCACCCTTCGATTGCCTTCCCAAGCATGCACACCGTATGATCGGCATACTCGTGAAAACGTCCATCGCCGCAAAATGGATTCCACCGAGAGAAACTCCTTTCGGCATACTCGTGAAAACGTCCATCGCTGCAAAATGGATTCCACCGAGAAACTCCTTTCGGCATACTCGTGAAAACGTCCATCAATGCAAAATGGATTCCACCAAGAAACTCCTTTCGGCATACTCGTGAAAACGTCCATCGCTGCAAAATGGATTCCACCGAGAAAAACTCCTCAGTTTCCCTTCGTTCCCGGTGCCAGCTACGCTTCCGCAGGTCATGTTGGTAAAAGTATTTCCTTGGACAATGACAACAGTCTACTATTTGTTGGCTGCTGAGGCATAAGGCAATGCCATGACTACAGCCAACAATGGTTGGACTCCTGCACGGGATTCTCTACGTTCGTACGTATGTTTCTTCCCTGAGGGATGAGAAACAAGAGACTATAACTAGTTTCCAGATTGACCGAGCCCATCAGTCAAGTTTATGCATGCGGGAGAAGACTTTCCACGAGAAGGAAGACTTCTGCATGCACGATCCATTCCTACGGTACTTGCAAGCGTGGCCATTGCCACATCTAAGTGGGACATAATAAAAAGGGAGGGAGGGGGGAGACAAAGTAGGGTGAAGATTATGAAGCAAGATTACAGAAAGGGATTTAGAAAAACCAAAAAAAAAAAAAAAAAAAAAAGATGTCACCCCCACCTTGGGACTCCTCTCTACATCAAAGCTTCCCATTGGAAGCCTCTCCTCTTTCTTTCGCTTCACATCACCATCTTTCTCTCAGCTCCACCTGTGAAACGCATGTATGCTGAACTTCGTTGCAAACAATGAATGCACAGTCAAGTCCATATCCTTGGGCACATCAATTGCAGTGTGCCTCTGCCACAAGGCCTATCCTTCAACCTCCCATCGGAGAGTTCGATGCTACCTTCTACCTCTGATGATGTAATAAAGAATGCTTATACTACACTGGAAGACTGATCTGCACCACCCACCATCACCACCCCTTGACTCCTCCATGCCCATCACGCAGCTACGAGAACTTCCTTCCCCACATGCATCCACTTTTTATCCACACTAACCAAGCCTCCTCCATTGCCTTGCTGGATCGAAACCTGTGCTTTGTACAGCCAAGAGACCATGTCTTCCAGATAGCACATCTCAAATCATGTACTTGTCGCCACTTGAAAAAAGCTATGTTTGTTGATCATACTGGAAGGCCAACTGCCAAGCCGTGTCGACACTCAAGATAAGAAGCATGGTCTGGATGCTCTTATAGTCGTGAACCCGCTTGGTGCTTCCACTTTGGCATCCCCACAAAGAATAATTGGCATAAAAGACGCTGATTCAAGGCCCAGCAAAGCCACACCCTCCTATCAGTTAAAGCTGATTAAATGCCACAGAATATGCACTCCCCAAGAATCCAACAACATCTTTGCTTCCCTCTCCCTCCCTCCCTCCCTCCCTCCCTCCCTCTCTCTCTCTCTCTCTCTCTCTCTCTCTCTCTCTCTCTCTCTCTCTCTCTCTCTCT